TCCTTTGAGCTGCAACTCCACCAGACAGAAGCATACATGACACAGATTTTCTTCTATTTGTGCATGCTGGGACAAGAAAATACAGCAAAGAACACAAAAAGCAGCTAGCCACCTTACAGATGCATTTCATCGTGGAAAGGTTAAAAATTGCAATCTCAGCATCCTGAAGCTAAATTTTATTGCCAAATTCAGCTTATTATCGACTTCTTAGATGTTGTTTTGTTAAGTACTGTGGCATATCAAAGCTTTCAATGCTATTTATCAGTGGCCCCCATATTTTAATAGCAGATTTAAAAACATTGTAGCTTTTGACAAGTAGTGAAATCACTATCCTATGCAAGAGTTCACATATGTACATACAAAAGTGAGGGGAAATTAAAAAAAAAAGTTTTCAGAAAGGAGTAAGGTCAGAATTTTTTCAACTGAATCTGTTCCAAAAAATTCCATTTTACTGTAATAGACTGGCTACAAAGAACAAGATTTATACAAATTCAAATATTTTTTAAAGTTCTGATTTCATCTTAAAGCATCTGATTTCTGTTCTTTCTGAATCTAAAGTGAAATTTCACTTCTACATATAAGTAAAAGATGTTTAAAAATGTAAAAATAAAAGTGCAATTACCCACTTACATGAAAGAGGGTTTTTTGATATGCATTCTGGCTTACAACAGCATTCAACACCATTCAGCATTGCCTCACACAGTTGAATTACAAATTTCTAAATGTAGCAGGGAAAGTGAGAAAACAAAGGGCTAGGGAAGGACTCGTGAAGCACAAGAGATCTAAATTCTGATCTGTAAAAGAATGAGAATGTCGTCACATAGATGAATTATTATTACTTCACTGAGTAATTGAAAAATTTTTTTTATGTCTTTGTGATCCCTGAACAATACAAAAATGAGTAATTTTGAAATTATTAGCCATTTTTGACTGCTGCTATCATTTTCCCTTTCACATTCCTCTTTCTTCCACATTTTTCAACCTTTTTCTATGGCACTTTGAGGCAGAGGTCTTTAATCTCAATTTATGATACATAGTAGTTTTCAAAGTTAAGCAAGCTCTTCTATGAAAAGGAAATTACTTTCTACTCACCTCTTCATTTTGGCTCTTGAAACCTTTGCAAAAATAAAAAAACAAATCCTAAGGAGACCACAAAGGTCATTATGAACACCCCATGACACATTCTTCTCTAAATTGAGGCCTGCCTGATCTTTCATAATGTTATGGGCAGTTATATACCAACTCCATTACTGTTCCCTACTTACGTTTCAATAACATGTTCATAATAACTGCATTAGATGCAACTACAAGTATTTATTTCTAAAATTTATGAAGCGATAATTTGACAGATGTAGAAATATTTTATTACAATATTTATTGTATAATTTTAAAGCTATCTATGTTTTGTTTTTCTCAAGCATCTATAATTTTTTACAGAGTATATTATATAATAGGCATGAGATAAGATATAGTAACCATGTTATAAAAATCTGTGATTAATGTCTAAATAAACTATTATTCTCAGTTTTGGAACATGTAAAAAATGTAGTGAGTTGGTGTAAGCTTAATAAACTCTATCATAGTGAAAGATCCATGCACAGAGTATAGGGCTATATATAGAACAGCTTAGAACGATGACTCCATCTTCCAAAAGCATTATTAAACCTCTGCAATCAAAGCTGAAAGGATACTTGGTACCCCTGTGCTAAAGGGAAGAAGAAATTAGGGAAAAAAAAATAATTCTTTTACTAATTTTATCAAAAGAACTTATGGAAAAAACAAAAACAAAAACCTGCACCCTTGTGCAGCTATGTGTTGGATTAACTATTAAGTACTGAAATCAGAATACTGCCTTCAAGTTGATTCTTTCCTTTCAGAAGTCAGAAGTCCACTTACAACATTTTTATATAAGTCATCTACTTATTTGCTTATTAGATACTGTAGACTTGGTTCTGTAGGAGAAATCCTATTAAGATGATGACAGCTAGTACTTACCTACTGAGCTGCTTTGATTCTAGTTCCACAATGTGCAAGCTAATTTCTGACCTAAAACTAAAACTGTGAGAGATCCACAAATAGTAGGCAGGATGTTACCAACCCATATACTCTCACAGTATAGAAGGAAGCATGAAATTTGCACACATATAGAGCAGCTGTGACAGCTCTTGGGAACTTGTTCTGAAAGACTTCACTGACATCTAGCGGCACCAGCAGGAAAGAGAAAAATTCAACAGTGGAGAACAGAAGTAATGGAATGTTTTAAAAATATAGAATTCAATTTTTTGCAAATAGTAAGTAAAAATCCAAGAAATGCTTTGAACAGAGCAACTAGTATATAGGTTTCAAATGACAGATTCTGGACAACTTTGCTTATTTGTACCCTCAGAGAACAATTTAAAAATTGTTTTGAGAACTTTCCCCTACACATACTTCTAGGACCCCTTCAGATTTTTCTAAGTGTTCTAGAAATAACAAAGAATACGGGTCTCATTCCTAATCTTTTACAAAGAAGGTATGATTAATCTTCTTCATAAATGCAAAATAAGGGATTTGGATCAGTTATCAAAAGAGCTGGTTCAGAGAAATTTCTGTCTGTAGGTTACTTGTATCATACAAAACCACGTTTAGCCCAAGTATTTCCAATAATTGGGATATCTATCACCACGTTTTTGATATATGCTTAAAGAATAAAATACAGTAAGTTATTACATGAAATCATGACACAATTTGACTTCCCTATACATATGGAATTTTATAATGTAAACTTCCGTATATATAGCTGTAGGTACAATTCATATTTTTTAATCTTAAAACCCATCTCTCCCTTCCTTCAAGTAATGAAAAGCCACAAGAAATAGAATATAAACAAAACTTCTGACCTTCTCTAACACATTCCATCTTTACCAGTGCAAATGCTGGTAATAAAGAATGAACAAAAATCATGTCCCTTTGTTGTTGTATTTAGATATTACAGATTGAAGCAATTTCAGGGAATAGCGAGAAGTTTTAAATTTATCACAAAACCCAGAAAAAATTATTTGAAATTAAAAGCAAAATAATAGAGGCTAATATCAGATGTGTGGAGAAAAAAAAAAAAATGTTCTTTAAACTATCTGAACATCAGTGACACAGAAGAAAGAACCTCTTAAGGCAGACAGGCTATAAAAAAGGGAAACAAAAGTTTGAAGTTACACCATTTCACTTAGAAAACTACTGAAACTTAGAAGCAGAACTAACAATTTATTATTCAGCAGAACAGCAGGACTGGGTAGTAGCACCTGACTCAGACATTCTGTTCACAAAATTAATAACTTACTGTTAACCTTCACTAGATACATGGCATATTACAAATACAGGAATTCAGTATCTCCAGCTTAAATTATTTTTAAATTATTAGAGGGACACTGTATAGATATTTTCACATGGCATTCTACATATTTGAGAGAAATAAACAGCTCCAAAATAACTCTACAAAAAAACATGCATCTATGATGGGTCACATTTTAGTACAAGGAATTCATTGTCAAGAACATGCAAAAAAAGAACAGAACACTAATCAGATGGCACAGCATTCACAAGTCACAGAACTTGACACTGTACACTTGACACAGACACTTGACACTATGTGACACTATAATTTATTAATCAGTCCTATATACCATGACCTGTGGTTGGGCATGGCAGACCCTGTTTCAGGAAACCCTCAAAACACTAATTGCTGGAGAGACAATGAAGACTCTCAGACTTGCCAAAAAACCCCAACCCAAATCAAAACAAAAAGCAGCCTACAGGAAAAAGCTACTACCCTTACAATCTATTTCTTGTACGTGTTTTCTAAACGCCCTCTGCTGGTCACTGCTGGAGACAGGGTACTTGCTTCAACAGACCTTGGTACAGGAGATTTTATGTCTACCAATATTGTAAACCAAAAGTCACATTGTATCTCAGGAATCATCAGTCTTACAAACAAAACTCTATACCAGGCCTCCAGTAACTCCAAAATGGAAGTATAAAATATTGTTTTAATCTTGCATATAATAAATTTTAGTATTATTTTTCTGAATTAATTATTTTTCTGATTATAATGATGTAGACAATACAATCCACTAAATTCGCCATTACCTAAAAGACCTACAAAAGATTCACATCACATTTTCTGGTTTTCCTTTGAAACTACATAGTGTAAGATAAACCAGTACCAAATATGAAAATAATCACCAAATGCATGCAATGTAAGAAAACATGATCTGTAGGACATTGCTGGTAAGGGTGCATATGTCTCCTACTAATCAGACAGAAAATATTTGCATTTTAGCTCATTTCTAATCAGATTTATATAAATATATAAAATTGTGAGAATTTAGGGTGCTGAAAGTTACATCACAATTTCACTTTTCTGTAAATATCCTGCTCACAATTTCCTTACTACTAAAGAAGGTAACATACAAACACAAGCAATCATGAAGACAGGACAACATTTGAGGAAAACACAAACAATCCAGATTTTAAAAAAACATCTGATTTAAAACCAAATATTTATATAATTCAAAGGTATGAGTAGCAAATAAATAATCAAGTTATCCTCCAGTGTTTTTCAGATGTGGTCTCATGGAGGACAAAATGTGCAAGAGAAACATTCTTTTAATGAAAGATTAAATTGGAGAGATGTGTGATTTTTCATGGTTGCCTGCCAGTACCTGTCTCTTCTGCCTCTACTGCTTCCAGAGTTGCTGGAGATACACAGATACATTTTTCTCTCTCAATAAGAATATGCATTCTCAGAAATATCCTCCCAAAATGGATAATAACGCTTGCATCCACCTATTGTTTTTTTTCTGTGGGAGAGTTATGCTACTTTTTGTAAGAGTTATTAGTAATAATATTTATTGTATATTACTGTTGTACTTGCTGTACTGGTAGCTTTGCACTACTTAAATCTGTAAAATGCACTAAAATCAGGGAAATAAAAATACATAAATAAAATAATTACAAAAGTATACCTTTAATGTTTCAATTTCTTCTTTGTGTTCTCTCTTTAAATGCAAAATGGCAGCTTGGTACTCTAAAAATTAAAAAAGTACATTCCATTAGTGCCACAAACCAATGTGCCATCTTCAGCATAGTATACTTCATACAACACCACCAAATCCAGAATGCAATGCAGGTTCTCAAATAAAAGACCTTTCACAATGGTAATGGAAAATCAAATCTGAACACAGTAATTAGAATTGTTTTCTAAGAACCCAAGACCTTGGTGTGTCTCAGAGCAGGGGACAACACAAAGAAGTCTTCCATGCTGAGAGGGGAAAATTGGACCAAAAACCATCAGGCTAAAATAACAAGAGGAAACTTCAGTTACATTGAGCTTTGCTGATAAATGTAGACCTGATAGGATATTATGACATACACATGCATGGACATGCAAATACCTGAATTCTAAAGAAACATGCACTAAATACAACACATTTACAGCAAGAACTGTAAACATACAAACATGTGCACAGGCAAATTGGATCAAAGAGCAATAACAAATACAAAGGAAAAACTTTAAAAGTATCCAACAGCAGGAGATACAAAGAAACCTTTAGCTCTTCCATTTAGCAAGAATAGAACAAAATCCAAAGGTATAACAAAGTTGAAAGCATGCAGCCTAGATCCAGAGAAGTTTTAAGTCAGATAAATTGAAATCAGCAATGAAAAAATGAGGAGGCTGGCCACTGATTACACAGGTTTAGTGGTGGCTGTAACGATAAGGTGTAGATTTACCAAATGGACATCTAAAACCTGGGTCTCATACAATGGCTTTCATCAGTCCATACCAGGGCTACATTGGCCAGACAAAGAACAGGAAGACTGCTGCACAATGATTTGAGAGAAACCTGTCTTATTTTAAGATATCAGCCTGGAATGCATAATGCTCCTAGCCAAGCTACTTGAGTTCTTTCCTTTCTTAGCCCGTCAAAATTAAACTTCTATCTGCTTCCAAATCAAAATTAACCCAAAAGTATATTTCCAGTTCCATGGCTTGGTTTCTGCTTCCCCAGCTGAAAAAGGAGTTCAATCATAATTGAAATATGGAAATTGATTGAAAATAGTTCAATATTCTCTAACACCAAGGGGGTTGAACAGTCACTTGAACAGCAAAACCAATAAAACAGCACTAGAACATCAAAACATGGGCCAAAACAATAGGTCAGTAAAACACTCCAGTGCTTAGGTGCTTCTCTATTTTGCTGTTTATTTTTTTTCTTTTGTTGTTGTTTGTTTGTTTTTTCTTCTTTTAAGAGCACATGCAGGAAAGAGGAAGGGAAAGATAACCTGGTCGTCACCCTGAAATCTTTAAGATGTGGAAACTTTTCATAGAAAGCTTTTGTTTTTTCAAATACAAGTAAAGCTATATGCAAGCAGCTGGATTGATATACAAAATCAAAAGATATTTTAAAAGACACAAAATAAAAACTCAGTTGATTCCATAGTGGTAGTATCTGTTTAAACTCCTCTATCTCCAACAGGCCTCTGGTTTCTATGTGGGATTGCCCATTGCTTAGCATTGTTTAGGATTTGAGTAAAGTTCACACATGCTGACCTAGACCTGCACTGTCACCAAAAGCAAAATTTTCACCCTGTCTACCCATTCCCAACCCTCTGTTGCTTATACTCTTATCTTGGTACAAATGTTTATGCATTCAGAGCGTAATGGAAGGACACTCATGAATGAAATCTAACAGCATAAAAAGTTGAAGAATTTTTTAAACATGAAGTGTATGTCATTTTTTGTGTCAGACAATTTCCAAGACACCACCATTGTATGTTTTTTAAGTTGGCATGTGGTTTTCAGTAGGTCTCCCAGCTGAAAGCTTCAAAATAAGTTATTTTTTGAATCTTTGTTCAAAAGCAGAGGTAATATAGAGAGCAGCAGTTCTTTTATGGTTTACTTATTCCTTAAAAATACACTTAGAAAGTACTAGATGGTAAAGATTATAAACCTAATGAATGACTGAAAACACTGCTACTGCAAAAGCCAAGTAATAAATCTATGTATTGTAACATATTTAATAGAATGTCTACTACGTAATAAATTGACCTTCTACAGCACAGGCTTATTTTATTTCTTTCTACCACTGTATTTCTTTTTTAAACAGAATATCTACTGGATAGAAGCAGAGACCTGGCAAAGTAACTTTTTAATACTTTTCAAGCAAACACTTATTTTTGTATGTAAGATAATATAATTAAAAAGAAATCACATCACAGTTATATTTTTGTATAAGACAAAGTAACACATATATATTCCTTTCATATCTTCTGTGAAAATTTCATTTTAATTCAGTATCATTCTACATGGATATTTAACATCTCAAGAAAATATCTTGCACATACAGAAATGGCAATCTGAATCATTAAAACACTGAAAAATTTGACTAGAAAAAATAATTGCATCAATGCTACACAAAAATCAGTTTCTGAACATACTGGCAACAGAATAACAAAGCTTAATTATGTGATGGTCTTGGGATGCTGCTTGGAATGGTAAAATACAGCAGCAAAGTAAATACTAATGACATGTTAACGGAAGGAACTGTACTGCAAAAAAACCAAACCAAACAAAAAAAAACAAACCACAAACCAAACAAACTGCAAACTACAGGTCAGGCTTTATAAACTGCTGAGTTCTTAATTTCCATTTAACTCACAAAAATGGATTCATCTAGACTACAGAAACAATCCAGAAGTACTGTCAACTAAACCATCAATGAGTGATTTCTCTAGGTTACAAATTAACTGTGCTAGAGTTCAAGAAATCTGATAGGGCTCTGTCTGTAGTCAGCCTCATTCTCACTTAATCATTGCAACTCAGCCAGCCTTGTTAGTTAAGACACACGGGCATATGCGGATAGTTCTGAGCCAGCTGAGATATAATGTTGCAGCTGAACTGTATGACCTCCCACTTCCTGGTGCTGCCATTACCTTAAGGACCTTCAAGATGGACAAGGTAATCAATCTTCAAATCACAGAGTCACAGGATGGCTGAGGTTGGAACTCACCTCTGGAGGTTATCTGGCCCAACTGCCCCCTAGAGCTAGTTGCCCAGGACCACGTCCAGACAACTTTTGGATGCTTCCATGCATCTCTGTCCAGCTCATCCTCTCTGGGCAACCTGTGCCAGTGCTCTGTCACCCTCACAGTGACAAAGTGTTTCCTCATGTTTAGCAGGACCCCACTGTGTTTCATTGTGTGCTCACACTGCTCTTGTCACTGCACACACTGAGAAGAGCCCAGCTCCCTTTTCTTTACACCCTACTTTAGAGATCCAAGCTGATCTTGTGTCACAAGGTGACTCTATTCCATGCCAGCACATCCCCCAGTTTGTGCAGTGCTGGGGTGGAGAGGGTGTATGTGTGTATTTTCTGAGGTTTTAGTCTTTCATTATGCTGGATAACAGAGGGCTGATTGTACAAACATCCTGTTGATACTTGCCTGGTCTCCAAACAGCCTGCTGGGAAGACAGTGGTTGTAGGGCATAAATAAGTTAACTTTCCCTAAAGCGGATAATACTCTGAAGGGCTTTTGAAACAAACAAATCAGATACAAATCAGATGGCAAGTGCTCCTATCCTGAAAAATGACCACAAGCAAATTAGGATTTCATTACTGAGAAAACAATTTAAAATGTTTACAGGTACATATGGCAAACAAGCAAAAGTAAACAATCTCACTTCACAGATTCATCTGCAACCAGCTCTCACTTTCAATTTTCATTTACTACTTCTTATTTGCTACATTTTTCTTTGTTTTCAAAGGACTCCATCTCAAGAAAAAAATAATAAATGATGGAATTTGGTGCCCATTTGGGCATAGTTTTTACTTCAGTTAATAACTGTAACCCACTGCAACTAAAGCAAATTCCCATAAGACTGGATGTTTTTTGCTAGGATAGCAGATATACACTATAAAGCCTTAAATAAATACAAATATGTGTTACATCTGCCGTTAGTAATGAATTTTAAAATACCAGGTTAGTGAAAAATGTTTCACTAAAACACATTTTTAAAGTAATATGGAAGCTGGCAAAGTACATGGGAAGCTGGACAGATGCCTCAGCGAAAACTTAAGATATACAGTGACATGACAGTGCAAGGATTCCTTTTTCTGTGTTGTTACTGGAAAAATTATTCAGTTAGTAATCGAAAAAAATTCCCAACAACCTCCTTACTGTAAAGCTTTAATTTCCATTTACTGCCATGTTTTTCCACAGTCTAGGTAAGGCAGCTATGCTAATCATAAGGATTTATCAGATAGACCAAAATTCTACTTGGACTTCATCATCATGATGAAAAAATTACCTTTACCCCCCCATCCCCCACTACCACTTCTCTGCACTTTCACCTTTTGCATTCATACTTAGGATTTGCCTTATGTACTTTGCATTCCATGTGCAACTTATGCCAACATTAAACCACACAAAGTTCCCCTCTTCACATAGAAGCAGAACAAAGAGATGCCTGTGGTCTAAGTCAAAACACTTTGCCAATTTCTGTTGTCCCTTTCAGGGGAATAGTTATTACAAAATGAAGGCCCCTGGGGGTTATCTAGTCAATCAGATTTTACAGAAAAGCTGAACTAAGGCATAATACAGAAAAAAAAAATAGCTACACAAATACAAGAAAATATCTAATTTGGGAAGATAAGCTCATTGCAGATCTTGAAAGAAGATGAATGCCAGAACAGGAGCTGAAGTTCTTACCAGAAACTGATTAGGTTTCCAGAAAACACTCCAAAATACAGTGAATTAAGCAAAAGCTTCTTGTTTTGGGGGCTAGCCATGTCAAATATTCATAATTTATGGAGGTTTGAGGGCACAATGCAAAGTCTATTTTTGTTTCTATTTTTACAGGCCCTTCAAGAGGCAAACTGGGAACTGCCACAGTGCAATGTGACTCTGAAATGAAAGTAGTTCAGCTTCATAGTGAACAAAACTATACCCCCATTGAGAAAAGCCAAAAGCCTATTTTGCCTCAGTAGCCAAAAAGACAGTGACATGCGAAAAATGAAAAACCAGCAA